GGCCGGTTACACTCAACACCGCCACCCGCAGTGAGGGAAAAAACCCAGTCCTGAGAGGGAGAGGAAAAGTCGGGAAATCCTACCTCAGGGGATGGCAGCTGAGAAAAAAGAAAAAGGGCAATGTGCTCCCTGGGGCCCAGAGAAGGAGCTGGGGTCATTAATCTGACAGGAATACTGGGACAGAATGACTGGCAGAGTACCAGGTGGCAGAATAAGCCAGGGGCTGACTTCCCTCAGCATTTCAAAAGCAGTTCACTGCCATCTTGACTCTCTTAGTGAGAAATGACTGTTTCATCACAAAACAGAAAAAATTCATTGCACTTTTTAATTAGCTTACAGCAAAAGTAATAACAAGTTAGCTTCCAAGTGCCGCAATTAGTAAGCACTTCCTTTTTATAACCCATAAAGCCCCTCAGAGCCGAACCTCTTGCAAGACAAATTTGAGGTCCATATGATCTTCAGGCGGTGGAAGGGCTGGGAGCTGCAAGTCTGCCAGTAGGAGTTACAACAGTAACAGTAATAAGATTAGCAGTGGCAGCTGCTGGTATTTCCTGTGTGCCAATCATGTGCGAGCAGCTGTTGGAAGATCACTGGATACAAAGAGTCTCATCGGATTCCACAAAAAAAAGATGAAGAGGGCTTCCCTGGTGGCTCAGTGATAAAGAATCCATTTGCCAATGCAGGAGACATGGGTTTGATCCTTGATCCGGGAAGATTCCGCACTCCTCAGAGCAACTAAGCCCATGCACCACAACTTCTGAGCCTGCGCTCCAGAGCCCAGGAAACGGCAGCTACTGAAGCCCAAGTGCCCAGAGTCTGTGCTCCACAGCAAGAGAAGCCACTGCAATGAGAAGCCTGCACATTTAACTACAGAGTAGCCTCTACTCTCTGCATCTAGAGAAAAGTCCTTGCAGCAATGAAGACCCACCAAGGCCAATAAATAAATGCACATATATAATTTTAAAAAGTCTAGAAAATGAACTTGTTTTAAAAAAAAAGAGAGAGATGAAGTGGGTTATACCTGTATCTCTCTTTTAAAAAAATGAATCTTTAAGATGTTGAGCAACCTGACCAAGGTCCCAGAGCTTGAAAATTGGCCTGGGAATTTCAACCAAGTGAAAGTTGCATGTCCGACTCTGTGTGACCCCATGGACTGTAGCCCGCCAGGCTCCTCTGTCCATGGAATTCTCCAGGCAAGAATACTGGAGTGGGTAGCCATTCCCTCCTCAAGAGGATCTTCCCAACCCAGGGATTAAACCCAGGTCTCCCACATTGCAGGCAGATTCTTTACTGTCTGAGTGACCAGGGAAGCCCAAGAATACTGGAGTGGGTAGCCGAGTCCTTCCTCAGGGGATCGTCCCAACCCAGGAATTAAACCCAGGTCTCCTGCATTGCAGGCAGATTCTTTACCATATGAGCTACTAGGGAAGCCCTCAACCAAGCCAGCTGATCTTAGAGATCCTCTTCTTAACAACTAGACTATCTGATGCTGGAAGGTTCGAAGCTGTTGTTCACACATTTTTTTCAGTTGTTTAGTTGAAAGTCTTTTCTTCATAATGCCCCTAGCCTGTGGGATAAAGGCCACTCTCTAAAGGAAGGACAAGATGTGCATATGGAAAGCACTAATTTCACTCAAGAACAAAAGTCAGCATCAATAATGATAAGAGTCTCCAAAGCAGGGAGGGGAATGAGAGATGAATTGAGAATTGGCCAAAGGCTGCTGAGTACTGAAGCCAGGTGTTGGATACCAGAGGATTCTTCCTGCTCTTCTCAACTTTGAGCTACGTTTGATAACTTTCATCAGTTCAGTTCAGTCGCTCAGTCACGTCCAACTCTTTGCGACCCCATGAATCACAGCACGCCAGGCCTCCTTGTCCATCNATTGGTAGATCTTCCATAGTATAGATATACCATAAACCTACTTAACCAGGACACCTCCGCTGTTCCTAATCTTTTGCTACCACAATAAATAAGTCTATACTGTCTTTTTTCTGTCTACTGCCCATTTTGAGGGTCACACTAACCATTTCTCACATTTATTTACTTACTGCCAAAACAGTAAGCAGGGGTGGATCCAGGTTTCACGGGACATAAAGTTTAGACAATTTGAAAGATCCTCTTTAAAACAGAGAATACAAAATCATGAGTACAAAATGATGTATAAATGTGTATATTTCTTTTAAATTAAAAATTCTTATCAATTCACTGGAGTCACTGGAGTCTTAAAGATTAAGGTCTTTTCTTCCAGGATCTTTTTAGACAACTTAACAAAAAATATTTATACAGAAAGACCTTCGCATTGCAAACTGACATCTCCTCTCCATCTAGAATACTCTGTAACTTTTCAAAACCTACTGTATTGCACTTATAGGGGCTTGAATCCTACCATTTAGAAGCTACACAGGAAGTCCCTGTCTTTGAGAATGATAGGCAATATCATCNGCATTGCAAACTGACATCTCCTCTCCATCTAGAATACTCTGTAACTTTTCAAAACCTACTGTATTGCACTTATAGGGGCTTGAATCCTACCATTTAGAAGCTACACAGGAAGTCCCTGTCTTTGAGAATGATAGGCAATATCATCACAATCTCACAGATGTGGAAACTGAGGCTTAGAGATGCAGTAATTTGCCCCAGGTTGGACAGTGGGTAATAAATCAGGCCTGTTTGATTTCAAAGCCTTTGTGCCTAACTGACAAAGAGTGCCTCTCCAGTGGTCTTAAACTCGACTAAATTAATCTTTTCAAAAGAGAGGACTAATAAAAGATAACATTGCCATTATTAGTTCCCTAGGGAAGAAACATTTGCTCTCAAACAAATTCTCAGTTTCCCTTTTATATTTTCAAAACATCTTTTCTTTTAAAAAAAAAAAAAACTCAGTAATGGTCTCTGTAAGTGTACCTAACTAAATGCAGAGCCTAAGGTCAGCATCGTGCTCACTATATAGGCTGGGACATCACCTGCCTGGTCCTCTGGTACCCAGAGAAGGGGCACAGTGAATCAAAGAGATGACTCAATGCTCATCCTTTGTGTTGGGGGTGTGTTTGTTTTCTGCTGACCTCTCACATTTCGAATAATATCCCCAGATCCTCAGATCTGTCAAGAAACAAGGGTGGGACCAAGGACTGCCATCAATTTCATTCTAGTAACTAGAATGCAAAGACTTTAAACCTATTCTAGAAGGTAAGACTCTTCCAGTCTAACTCAAATAGAAGCAGATCAGACTGACTAAATGTTTTCAACATTTCTTCAATAACACAAGCCAGATCGGTGATTGACTGTCACCACGGATACTGCTAGGATGTGCTGCTTGTGATATTTCATGCCTGGAAGCCAGAAGGCTGAACATCCTGTAATGACGGGGACTGTCTAGTACCGAGAGGGGACTGTGGAGCCAAAAATGCCCAAAGCACTGCCGGCTGAGAGGACTGCTGAGACAGCCCTTCACAGAAGGGGAATAAAACAAGGGCGGATGTGGACATGGCTACATTTTATCGCTGGCTTTTCAGGTTATTCTAGGAGCATTAACAAAATGAGAGGTTCTGCATGGAGAAGGCTCCTGTCACTGCTCTCATTTGATCTTTACTGCACTGCCAGGCCCATCAACTCTCAAGAATTGCCATGAAGGGTCAAATTTGAGAGTAAAATAAGCCCTAGATTTCAAGAGTTCACAAATCTTTCAGCCATCGCTTGAGAAATAAGGGCTTAAAATTAATGCGTACAATGTTTTAAACTTTTAAACTCATTAAAAAAAACTCTCAAAAGTGCTTCTCGCATTTCTATAAATATCACCATTATTCAATCTGGAAGGTAAAAAATAAAATTAAAATTGTCCCTTATTAAATGGCCGTGTTCTAAAATAGCAATTTATAGCAAGATCTAACAAAGATCTATCAAAACAATAGGAAAATGTGTTATACCTCAGATCCAAACATTCAATAATTAGGCAGCCCAAATACTGGGGTACCTACAATGGAATTTTATCCAGACTTAATTAAAACAATAGGGAGTAGATACTTTATGCTACAGAATTAGAGATTGTCCACATACTTACAATACTATCATTTTATCAAGAATTAAAGCCCAGTCTATGTAAAACTGCTTTACTTCAACTTAAATTTGTCTGTCTGTGGTACAATTTCAAATCAAACCCATCAGACTCTTAGACAATGGATTTAATCAGTCTCTTTTCTGGAAAGAAACTGATTACAAATATTAATTATAATAGTCTGTATTTCTTCACTATATAAAAGTTGTGCTCAGTAGCCTTTACACTTAAGAAAAAAGACAATTTACAAGTTTGATTTCTAAAGTAATATTTTTCTAATCATTAACAGACATAGTAAATATCATAAACTGTACAGTTCACTCATAGTTCAGGGCAGGGGCATTACAAATATTAGTATTATAGTTAATGGTTGTTTACTTGCAACTATTCCTAAGAGCCCAAGTAACACTAACCCATTTGAAACATCAAGTGCTCACATTCTATATGCTATTTCGCTATTTAAAGAATTAGCATTGTATGTCGCAGAAGAGGTGAAATTAGTGCCTCTCCTCCTCTTCCATCACCACGTCAAAAATAATTAACATATTACATGTTTGGAACACTCTTGCCTGCGTTATAAAACTAGAGATGCCGACCTAAGTTAGAAATGGGGCTTCTTAGGTGGCTCAGTGATAAAGAATCCATCCACCTGCCAATGCAGGAGACTCAGGAAGCATGGGTTCAATCCCTGGGTTGGGGAGATCCCCTGGAGAAGGAAATGGCAACTCACTCCACTACTCTTGCCTTGAAAATCATACGGAAAGGGGAGGCCTGTGGGCTTCAGTCCATGGGGTTGCAAAGAGCTAGACACAACTTAATGACTGAGCACACACATGCGAGTTAGAAAAATGTCCATACTTAACTGTGAGGTGTGTTTCCTTAACATTCTCTACTAGCTAGGACTGAAGATGCGAACAGCTGAATTGAAACACCTCTGCAGAAGCCATACCTGTGAATCTGACCATTTCTGTGTAGATAGTCTAAGCCTTCCAAAACTTCTTTAAGAATTGTTGCTATTATTGCCTCTTCCAGAACTCCATTCTTGTGTTCTCCTCGATTGACGATGTATTTTATGATATCCAACATTGAACCTAAATGGACAGACAGAATTAAACAACTGTATAAGCAAGCACTTTCATGATTTTTCCAGAACAGGGCTCCCTATTTAAAAAATTAAATGCGAACATCAATTTTTTGTTTATTTATTTAGTACAAATATTTCCAATACAAACAACTGCATGGCAGCCCATGGCCAGAAAAACATTAAATCCAAGCCGGCAAGCACACATCCTGCTGAACTTAATGAGGGGGGTTCTGGGGCAAGAAGCAGAAGCCTGTGCGTGGCCACTGCAGAGGCAGTCCCTTTCCCCAAGACATGCAACTGGTTACAGACTCAAAGGAGGTTCAGGATGTCTAAGCAGAAAAAGAAAAGAACAGACAGCAGGGAACTGCTGAGAGAAAGCAGCACAGTTCTTCTGTAACCCCTAAGACACAGGTGGCAGAAGCGAGAAGAAAGTACATTGCTTCTAGACACCCCTGCTTATAACTAGAAGACTGCTTTCTGGGACTCTAGGCAATCTTTATTCCATTTACTTGACTCTGATGCACTGAGTTTAATAATAAAGAAATAAATGCATACTACTTTGTTACTATAAACAGATGACCCCACAGGAAGAGACCTGGTTAAGATCATCATTGATAAAGCACCACCCTCAGCAGAACCAAGACCAAGTCCTGAGGCTCAACACTGCAGTCAGCTCCAAGGGCTTCCTTTTTCTCCTTTCCTTCTTAATTAAAAACCAGAGTCAGCACTCAAGGAAACAGTGACTAATAGGATTGACAAGACTGGGAACAGAACCGAACTAAGTTCTCCCGGGCTCCCTACCGAGACTTACACAAGCAAACCCAAGGCAATTACAATGCCTTCATCATCTCATGGCAGGGCCTTGCTGAATCCAAGACAGTTTCTTCTTTAAAAAAAAAAAAAAAATTGAGATGTTTCCCTGATTCAGCCTTAGCTGAACTGGGCTTGCAAATAAAAGTGGGCTCCATAGGAACAACCCCACTCTGTCCATTCTGACTGCATCCAGGCACTACCCTAATGCTCTCCCCTGCTCCTAATATACTTCATATCTCAGAAAGACAGATATACAGGGAGGAAGGGATGCTAGGTGTTGGGTATGCCTGTGCTTTCTCAGCTCCAATTTTCAGGTCTGCACAATGAAGGTGATGAAACTTGCAGGGCAGTGTGGCTTGTAGGTACACAGCTCCCAGCATCAACAGTTATGACGTGTGTGACCTTGGGCAAGCTGCCTAATTCTATTGGGCTCTTGTGTACTTTCTGAAAAACATGGATGACGACATCTGCCATTCAAGGGTGTTGCCCAGATTACATGAAATAAGGCAATAAATCACCTTGCAAGGGATCTAACCATGGAGAAAGCATTCAAGGAAACTAACCATGATGATGATCCTTCCCTATCCAAGAGTGAGGTTAGAAGATGAAAAGAAAAAAAAAAAATACGGGAGTGGGAAAGTGTCTTACAAATTACATTCAGTTCAGTTCAGTCGCTCAGTCATGTCTGACTCTTGCCTGTGGCTTTTTTAACTTCCATGATCTGAGGCTGGAGAGAGAAAGTTCCTTCCCCTTCCCACGTGTTCCTTCATGAAACCCACAGTCTGAAAATACCCTGTGCAACACCGTAGCCACTGGCCACCTGAGGTTATTTAAATAAAGTTGATTAAAATTGAATAGAAATTCAGTCCCTCAGTAACACTAGCCACATGTCAAATACTTGAGCCACCAGAAGAAACTTGATAGCACAACGCAGAACATTTCCATCAGCACAGACCTTTTAACAAACGGCAGTGAAATAATTTGTTATATTACAAGGTGTGAAAGACTTGAATAATGTTAAGAATGAATGCTTTAACTTTTCTGAAGAGACAAAGGGTGGCCGCAGAGACGATGAGATCTTTCAGGACATGAGCACATGGAGAAGGACAGACTGACATCCAGGGCTAAGGAGTAGCAGAGGCCTCAGAGAGCAGAAGACTTTCGGGAAGTCTCACCCACACCAAGAAGGTAGACGAGGACACAGATACTCCAGGAGTTACGCTGAATTATGAAAGGCTTTGAATATGAACATGAAGAAATCCAGACTTTACTCTCTAGGCAAATAATGAACCAAGAAAACTTCTAAATACAGGAGGAGGGGGATCATATCTGAAATCTTATTCAATATGCTGACTCAAACAAAAGGAAAAGAAAAAACAAGCAAATAATGAAAAAACCCACTTACCTCCACTTAGTAATTTCATGACCAGCCAAAGTTCGTCTTTTACCACAAAAGAGGTGTAATAGGTCACTACGTTGGGATGGCTGCACTGACTCATGGCTTGAATTTCTTTCTATAAAAAGAGCAAAACATGACATAGTACCATCGGGTGAAAACCGGGAAGTAAAATCGAGCGAACCCGGTTGAGTATTTGGGTAACGTTCCTACTTACAGCACACCTGGGCAAGTGTGAGGGGGTGCAGCTGCCTAGATCATTACTTTATATACAACACATGAGAATTAACTCCCTCAATTGCCATCATTCACTTGCTAGAATTAGGGAGGCCTCCCTTGAATTAGGGAGGTCTCTAGAATTAGGAGACCACAGAGCCCTGGGGACCAGCCGAGGGACAGAGGAACTTCAGCTCAGCACGCAGCCCACATAACCCTCCTCCCCTGCCCGCCGTATGAGATGTGTCTCTGACCTGAACTGAAAGCATCAAGAGAGATGAAAGATGGGTGAACTATTAGGAGACCTAAGTCTAGGCACCAACATGAACTCCAGTGGTTCTTAGAGCCTCCCTCATCCAAAAAGGGACAACAGAGTTTTTTCCTGTTTCTCAGGTCTGCTAAGATGGTAAATGAAAAACTACATATAAAAATGCTAGAGTATCATTTTCCAAATTATCTTCCCTGGGAGATATTCCATCAAGGAAAAAAAAGTAGTGGTGGGAGGAGCAGCTGGTAAAATGAAATAAGCTTGGGCAACATCAGATACTATATCTCACTTTAAAAGCATCACAGGATATATTAGTACTGTCAAAGGCTCTGAGAAGTCCTGCAGTAGATAAGCTGTCATAGTTGAATCCATATTAACAATGCAGGAAAATAATGCTTTGTGGGTCATGGCTTAGAAAACACTGCTGCACAGGAAAAAGTTTTATCAATAGACGAAACCACGAAGCTCTGAAATCAAACAAATGAGCAACTTCCATAAGACACATTTTTCTGCAATACTCAAGTTCATATTGGTTTTGGTTTACTGTTTCGTTATGGCCAGGTCTGGTGACTCCTATAAAAACCAGTTGAATACTGACCCTCAATCAAAGGTACCAAATCGGCATAACTCAATTTCAAGGTGCCGACCAAAAGCCACCAGAATAACCTAAGTCATCACAGAAAGCTCACTTATATGATTATGTATTTATGATGAAATAAAAGTATATTTGTGCATCTATACACTACCTTTATATATCCAGTATTAGTTTAATCTTCAAATTACTAAGACGACCCTACATGTCAATTAACTTGGCCTAAATATCATGACATGTAGCACATACACACATCTCAATATGTATGCTTATTTAAGTGCTTTTTATCATGGATAGACTCGTAAGAAAAAAAAATCACCCATTCGTCTATTTTCCTTTCATTACACAGTAACACTTTCCCATCATCATTTTCCTAATCCATTTAACTGATCACAGGTTTTCTAAATCTAACACTTTTCGATTCTGCACCTTTTGTCCTTTGAAGAGGATCTAAACCCTGAGCTCTAGTTTCCATCTGTTTCGAGTGTTAGGTTTCGATACCGTTAGACTTCTGAAGGAGAACTGGAACATTGCCCACCACCCCCATTTCAGGTGGCCAGCATCTGCTCCTTGTGGGCATGGCCCACTTTGAAGGGCTGCAGCTCTAGGTAGGGTCCAGTTGAAACAGATGCCCCTGCTGTTCACAGAAATGAGAACAATGTTTCTTCAAAGTATGGGTGTTCTACATTCTCAGCTTTATAGCCAATGTAAATGAATGCCTTTCTAGTTTTCTAACACCAAGCTTTTAAATCATTAAAGCATATAGTCAACAACTGGTGCTCTTATGAAAGGAAAATCTTTTGCATGGAAGCAAAGTGGGTCAGAGCTTGGAAAAACACATTTTTTTTAAAGACCTTTGTATTTAGATGGCCAGTATCACTTCCTACCTGGGGATCAAGTTCTCTGACACAGCAGTGAACAACTGTGTGGGTGTGTGTGTGAGAGAGGGAGAGACCCAGGGGTATGAGGGGACTCTTTTAATCAACCTATGGAGAAACTCTTTTAGGTAGCATATGGATATAACCTACCAAATTCTATTCCCTCAAAATTCAGGGCCTTAAACTTACCAGCCAGATATTTTAAAATCCTGAGGATTTTTAAAGAAAAGAAAGAAAGAAGAGACATGGATACTGCTGCTACTAACAGGCGGGCAGGAGCAGAATAAGGGCAGATCAAAGAAGAGGTAGGTTCTGAGAAGAGAGGCAGGACTTGCATCAGTCTGACCACTCATCACCTCGCTGCCCTCTTCATCACTTGGCTAGGGGTCCGTATCCCCCACTCCTACACCACCCATTTTACTGCACAGCCTTTCCAGGCAGTGGAGCGGCTAATGTGTAAAGACATGATGAAACTTGCCTTAAGGAAAAACACTGGTCACTCTCCCTCGGGAAATGACCTGTCCTTTCACTGAACCCCATATTAAGTAATATTTCCACCACGGGGTAGAAATGCACTTTTAAAAAGTTAAAAATAGGTGTTATGTGGCCTATCCAATCCTTAATTTAGTTTATACATAAACTTTTTGTTTAGCTGCCTTTTAGAGAGATACAAAATTTTTACACAATCGCCCCTTGAACAACATGGGGATTAGAAGCACCAAGTCTCCAAACAGTCGAAAATCCTCCCTAGGTATCCAAGGTTTGTTTCCTCAGTGTCCTTGGATTCAACAAACCATAATTGTGTACGGCTACAGTATTTAAGCTGAAAAAAATTGAGTATAAAGGGACCTCCACATTTAAAATCTGCATTGTTCAGGGGTCAACTGTATTTATAATTTTGCCATGGTCTGAATGCTTGCGTCCCTGAAACATTCATAAGTGGATGGTACTAGGAAGTGGGGCAGTTGGGAGGTGATTAAGTCACGAGGGTGGAGCCTTCATGAATGAGATTGGTGCCCTTATCAAAGAGACCCCAGAGAACCAGCTCACTGCCTCCTCAACATGAGGAAGCAGAGAAATCTGTGGCCTAGGAGAGGGCACCCACCAGTCATGGTGGCACCCCGACCTCAGACTGCCAGGCTCCAGAACGGTGAGAAACAAGTTTGTTTATAAGCCACCTGGTCTATGGCATCTTGGTTCTAGAGGCCCAGACAGACCAAAACAACTGTATATACTTTTTTTTTTCAATTTTAAATATAACTTATTTCTTGATTCAAATATTCTTTCCGCAGAACTTTCAACACAGTCATGATGGTTGTTATTTGAATCCTTCCTTGTTGGAACAGTCTATCAACTAATTATCCAAGCTTTTCCCAATGCCTTAACTTGACCCATATGGGTAGGTAAAGCCATCTATCCCCAAACATACGTATTTCTTCCTATCCCTAGAAGTGATCAAGGTATTGTCCAGAGATGAATAAATGGATGGAAAAAACAAAAAACAAGAACACCTTTTTATCCAATTCTTCCCACAGAATGACTGGGCTCATTTCTATTCCGTTATTTAGGACACAATCCATGGAAGACACGTGACTTTGCTGGTAAAGAATCCACCTGCAATGTAGGAGACCCCAGGCTGATTCCTGGGATGGGAAGATCCCCTGGAGAAGGGATAGGCTACCCACTCCAGTACTCATGGGCTTCCCTGGTGGCTCAGATGGTAAAGAATCCACCCGCTACGCGGGAGGATCTGGGTTCAATCCCTGGGTTGGGAAGATCGACATGGGCATGGCAACGCACTCCAGTGTTCTTGCCTGGAGAATCCCATGGACAGAGGAGCCTGGCAGGCTACAGTCCATGGGGTCGCAAAGAGCCGGACACGGCTGAGCGACTGAGCACACACAGTTCAGTGGCTCCCTTGACGGAACCGTGAAATCAGACTCAGACACATCAAGTGCCAAACCGAGCTACGGCACGGTATTTAAGCTTCCTTGTGGCTTGAAGAGTTGGATATGCTCTTGCAGCACAAGTGATATCTCACAAGAGTGGGAAAGCCACCCTAAAATGGGTTATTGAGTAAAAGGTCTTTCCATCTGCTAACACCAAAGTGGCAGTCACAGCAGCATCTCTGCTGGGAGCAATGTGGGAGGCAGGCAGATCGAAGAGGGACACCCACATACTGCGGCTGGGCCAACCTGGAAGAATTTGCCAAAACAAGGCAGGACACATGCCTGTCACATGAAACAAAGGAGGAGAAGAGGGCAACAGAGGATGAGATGGTTGGATGGCATCACCAACTCAATGGACATGAGTTTGAGCAAGCTCTGGGAGATGGTGAAGGACAGGGAAACCTGGTGTGCTGCAGTCCATGGGGTCGCAAAGAGTTGGACATGACTAAGCAACTGAACAACAACAAATTTAAATATTTATGAGCAATTTTCTAATATTGCTATATGGACTTTGTCCTACCTCCCCCCAAATTTTTGTCTATTGCTGTTACTGAGAATGAGCAGGAAGCATGATTAACAGGGATGTGAGCCAGCAGGAGCCACTGAAGAAGGGCCACATGCTAAGTCACAGCTGGCCTGGAAGCTTGGCTTTGCCATGGACCACACACTGGCTACCTGGGCAGGTCACCCAGTCTCTTTGAGCCTCAGTATCCTTTTCTGTAAAAATGAGCTTAATGATGCCATCGGAAACCTGCTATAAAGCACAGGAAGCTCAGCTCAGTGCTCTGTGATGACTTAGAGGGGTGGGATCGGTTGGGGGGAAGGGAGGTCCAAGAGGGAGGGGGTATATGTATACACGTAGCTGATTCACTCCATTGTGTAGCAGAAACTAATGCGACACTGTAAAGCAATTATACTCCATGTTTTTTAAATGCTTAAAAAAAAAAATCCCATCTACATAGGACTACTGTGAAATAAGCAAAATGAGATCTACACAACTCCTTGCAGAAGGTCTAGCACCTAACGTGAATGTTGCAAGTCACCCTCTCGATGTCTCCGTTCTTCCCGAGTGAGCATCCCCATATTGATCACTAATCTCAAATGTCCCAAGCTCCTAACTAAGTCTCAGAGGCACAGAGACAGCCCTTGGCAGCAGCACACACCTTTCCCTAAGAAAGATCTCCTAACAAATGTGCTCTGTGCCCTGCTGGCTCA